CGTTAGAAAATTTGTATGGTGTGTAATATAATGTATATCTTGTGTGATAACTTCAAAACAATTTAATAAAAGTATTATATATATATATATATATATATATATATATATATATATATATATATATATATATAATCATACAATACAGAAATATTTTCATAAATATCAAACAAATTAATCAAATTTATTAAACAATCTGTGTGTCTCACACTTGACCACAAATCATTACTACACAGAATTCCTGCAATTTGATATGGAAATAACTTCTTTTTGATTGTTGCATTCTTTGATATAAAAACAGTGCATGTCTTTAATAAATAAATCATATGGTTTGTGAGCAGATTCTCATCATTTATAAGGAGTAACTTCTCATTGGTTGTTCACTGATATCAAAACAGTTGGTTTCAACAAATGTAGATAACAGATGTTATATTGGAATATTGAATTGCAGTTCATTGTACAATTCTGATTCATTACACCTTTTTCTCAATCAAAGGCAATCGTAACCCACTTCAGCCTCAATCAGAGGAAATTGTAACCCACTTCAGCTTGGATAGCTACAGTTGTAAACAATTAACTGTTTCATCATACAATAGTGTAGAATTATAAAATATTAAAAATATAAAGCATGTAAGATAAGATTATATTTACAATTATATTACTTGCACAAAATTTGTAATTATTTTCTTTTTTTAATCAAACACTCACAGTGATTGTGTGCTAAAATTGCTGTGATTCATAGCAACTAATTAAAACAGTGGACACTAATTCAGTTATTTTTTTTAAACTTGGGGATGGGGCTATTGCCCTACCCCTGTCACAAGTTTTTTTTCCTAGGGGCTTTTTATGTTTCCCATATTTTAAAAGCATCAAACATTCGATATGTATTAAATGCAAAACTGCATATATGTTTTGTTCCAAGTTGAAGGAACTTGTTTGATGTGGCTAATGGTTATGTCTCGGCCTAATGACCTTGATCTAGCCTTATGGCATATCAGACTTGTTAATTTTATTGGCTGAACAAAATATGTAATTTTGTGTATTGATGACACAGTGATGTTGAAATTCCTCAGAATAAGGCTTCCTCATTTTTTATGTAGGTCAATTTTAAGTCTTACATTGATATCATTGTAAAGAGGGGGCACTCTGTAATTAAATTAAAAATAATTTTCAGTGAGTGAAAGCAGTTTAGCAACATGTAATAGATTATGCATGTACTGAATTTAACAAGTTATCCCAACACTGCTCAAAAGGATGTTCACAAGAAATGAATTGATTCAATTATTCATAATGATATCTGTAAATATAAAACTGATACATTACTATTTTCTCTCCTTGTAGATGGAAAATTTGATAAAAGGAATAAAGGACACCAATCTGAAGCTGACCTTGGCCTTTGGTATTGGGATCCACCATGCTGGTCTGATAGAATGGGACAGGAAAATAGTAGAGGAGCTTTTTGTCAACTCAAAGATTCAGGTCTGTATCGTCTCATAAGCTTTTAAAGTCTACGAAATGTCAGAATGTTGGAGGAAAAAAGAAACCCACCTATACTGATTTATATAACAGGCAAGGTTGACAGTGGAGTTTCTGAATCTCTGGGAGTGCAATATCAATAGCCATTAAGTTTTCAGTGCCATTCAAGATAATTTTACAATTCATACCAGGCCTAAGAGAATGAATCTAATAAATCATATATCTTGATGGCAGATTGACTGTAATGACAGTAGTTTTGAAGTAATCCAATACAAATCATTGTGCATTTAATATCGGAAAAATCAGCTTGGCACCATTTCCAAAAGTCAAAACCACATATTATATGGTGCAATATAGTCAATTAGTAATTTTATTCTAAATGAATTACACAAATTATTAACAGTGTTATCTTTTTTTATTTATAAATCTACAAATTTAATACTGAAAATAAAATGAAAATTTTTAAATTTGTTTTGATGTACTGTTGTGAACTGTTATATGTAAATAGCAAAGGGAGACTACTCTGCAGCATAGGACATGCAACCTTGACTTTTGGAAATATTATCACTTATTTTTCTCACTCTTTGTTTGTTGTCCTATTGTCAGGTTGATGAAGATGTTGTTGCTAAAGATTACAGGATAGCTTTTCTGCATAAATGTTCTTCAGTTGAAGCTTCAAGTTGATTTTCACTACATTGTTAACCACACTCATTATCTAACCAGTGAAAAAGTCACTGTGGCACATGCAAATAGGCATTTCCTACTGATAATTAACTGGGGGTGGGGTCAAATAGTACTGTGTATACCTACTTACAAGTAAGGTCCAACTGTTAATAATATAGACTCTGATTTGTCGTTTCATAATGTGGCCGCATATCTGGGTCTATGTTTTTTGTTCTTCTGATTACTCCCAATAGACTGCATAAACCAAAGCCTGCCAGCACATATGGCAAGTATGAAGCATTTGCTCTCACTGCAATAGAGTTATCTGCCCAAACTAACATGAGTTATTATCTCTGAAAGTATAATAGACCCAGTTTTAAGGTGGCACTCTACAGTTTCATATATAGCATAGGGTTAAAATTTTAAAGAAAAAGAGTTTCCAAGGATTTGCTCACTAGTTATACTGGCTATTTAAAAAAGACTTTGTATATTTTATGTATTATTCAAAGAACCTTTAATTCCCTTTATTTTGGTGTATGATTGATGGGTGTAATATAGGTTAGAGAGTATACAGCTTGGCCTTACTCCAGATGTGCACCTTTCAAAAAAGTGCTAGCTCCACTTGCTCATTTTCACTTCCTGAACTTCAGCGGTAAATTGTAAAAAAAGAACAGATAACTTTTTTTTACATTCTATATATTTGGTAATTCATTCATTGCACTTTCAGAAGCTGGTATTGTTTAGTCTGGCAAAATTCATTTTTCCTATTTAAATAGCTGCCAAAGATAGGGTACTTAGAAGAATTCAGGTGGATTTTTGGAGCAAAAGGAAGCATTCATTTTAGTTAGCAATATGCTAAGATCATTTACAATTTCTAAAAGTACAATATCCAAAGAAATGTCAGCCAGATTGCATGAAAGTAACATAGAGGTATGCCAACATTCTTTCCACTGTACATGTTTTAAATTCAAACAAATTCATTTTACATACATCACTCACTCAAAAGTACATGATAACTGGTGAGTGCCACCTAAGCCAGGACAGTTAACTGAACACACAGGATGTGTACAATGTGGGAGGAAAGCGTCTCATTTTTACATCACATTGCTACAGCTGCCCAAAATATTAAATAAGCCAAAATTGAATATCTAGGTAGATAGTAAGGCAACAATTTTAAAAATATTATGAGCTGCAAGGAACTTTATCATAATATTAGTTTTAAAATGATTCTGGGTTTGAATGTGGCTTTAAATTGTCATTTATCCAAACTGTTACTGTCACCAAGGTGTGTAGATTTGATGGAACCCAAACATATTCGTCTTACCTCCAGTTTATTTGGATATTTTTATGTTTGAGGAGAACAGATAAAAAAAAGGTTTTATTGTGTGTTTGATAATATCATTTTACATTTCTTCATATACCTTAAAAGTGGATTAAAAAAGTTTGTTCTGCCTTTTCTTAAATACTTGAGATTTATTGTATAAATCAAATGTTTTGGCTTCAGTTATTCAGTTGTTGGAGGATCAGGTTCATTATTTGAGGTCATCGGTTTGATACTTGCCCAGGCTAGCTTGGTTGGTTGTTCCATTATGTTCTTTTAAAGGCATTTTGTCATCATTTTGAGATGAATAAATCACTGAAAATACCATTGAAAACCATTCACTGTTTCTTAAGATTATTTGCAATATGGTATGGAAAGGGACAGCAGCTGTATTAGCACAAAGTGTATCTGTTTATCAAGTAAATAGTCTAACACAGTTGTCTCCCCTACTTCATTTCTTTTCAAATTCATTCAGTGTTGTGGATTATAATGTAATTAATCAGGACAAAGAGTCATGTTTCTTTTCTTTAGATGAATAAAGTCTAATTGACTGTGAATTGTAGAGGCATTACATGTGTTTTTTTTCCATGACAAATTAAATTGTTTGTATTCCATGTATTTCTGCTAATTATCATGGGTTTTTAAAAATCTATAATGTTGACCTTAAGGTATCCATTAATATATAACTATACCATACGTACTTGCTTATAAACAGCGTAGACCCTGATCTGCTGTTGCATCATGCAGATGCAAATCTAGATTCATGTTGTTAGTTCTAATGATTGCTCCTAACAAACTGCACAGACCCATGTATACTTGCACATTATGCAATAGCAGATCTGGCAATTTGCAGTTGAATCAGTATGTACAGTAACTCTCCATAACTAAAACTTGTTCATTGTATCAGTGTAGAAGTTTTTAAGGATTATTATTATTAAATCTTGACAAATTTTATGGTACTGCTCCTTACCTACCAAAAGGTTCATTAAACAGTGCCAGTTTAATCACAGATTTTTGAAAGTTCATTCATAAGAAAGTAAAAATAATGACAAAGTCCCTTGAAAAAGTTGTTTCCAAAAACATTTTGAGGAAATATATACACCTCTTCTTTGATAACTCACACAAAGGACCCAATTCTTTTGGTATTTTCTGACCCCATGTTAGTGAGGGAGAAATATACTTCATTTACAGTTCATAAAACGGGGATATAATTATAGAATTTCATCAGTTCAATTGGAATTTTCCTTGGATTGTTTCTCAGAATATCAGAGACTTAACACTGATAGTGTGTGTGCATTCGTGTGTGTATGATTTGGAATTTTAATGTAGCTTTAACAGTTTTTCAGTAATATTACTATGATGTCTGCATTGTGATAGTTTATAGTGACATCTAGGACTGGGGCATCATGTCACAGACATGTGGGATGATGTCCCACCCAGTCACATTATCCTCACACCAGGCTGACCAGTCCTAATAATAACCTCTTAATACTGAGCACCTAGCAAGGCAGCTGTTAATACCATTTTATCAAAGAATTTGGTTTGACTTGGCCAGGGTTCAAACCCATGACCCTCTGCATCTGAGGCAGATGCTCATACCACTAGGCCACCAGAACAGTTCGAACACTGATGGTGGAATTATTTTTTTTAAATTATCTTTAATTACCTCTGTAATTCTAATTACCAAGATGATTGATTTACAGGTGTTGATAGCAACCAGTACGTTAGCCTGGGGTGTCAACTTTCCAGCACATCTTGTGGTTATCAAGGGAACAGAGTATTACGATGGCAAGACTAGGAGATATGTGGACTTTCCAATAACAGGTAGTCTTCTTAGCTAATTTTTTTTGAGAATATTGCATCACTATTGTGGTATGGTGCATTAGTTTTACAATCAGGTGCAGTTAGGTGTGTGTCACTTTACATTAATTTCAAATGAATAAATTCATCTTATGTACCGGAGGACATGTTGTATTTAAGAATGAATTTTGCATCTACAGTTCAGAGTGTGATTTTGAAATGCAGGAGATGAACATTTTAGGTGAAGCTGAGTAATGAAACACTGAGAAAATCACACAACATTAATGTACAGTCAGTATGAGGTGAAAAGATACATCAGGTTATATGTACTCAACACATTTTATGAACAAACTCATTTGGCACTAGGGTTGTACTAATGGTACAGATATTGACCAATAAAACACATCAGATGCTAAATAAAGATTAAAATCCATGCAATTTTAGTAGTTGTGGATATTATGAAATAAACCATAAAGAAGTAGTCACAGCCATTCTAAATTGATGCAGCAATGATCCAGTCTACCCATTTGGAATTTGGTTATTTTGAAATCAATGAAACACTGAAACAATCAACCCATATGGAATTTAGTTATAAGTTTTAATGATGGAACAATGAACTATTCTTTCCATTTGGAATTTAGGTATAATGTTAATAACATCAGACCTCAGATGCACAAGCCTTTTTGAGCAAAAAAAACTTAATGCTGAATACCCCAAAATCAAGTTTAATGTTTATGGTGTACATGTGTCATATAAATTTGATTATCTAGTAGAGGGACCCAAGTTAAGGAAAATCTAGAATTTCTCTAATTTCACCATTATTCTTATTAAAGTTATAGACTGATAGAGTATTGGGAGCTGAACTAAAGTTTCTTACTCACAAAGTTTCAGGGATGTGGGGCATGGCCTCATGTGTTCAATTTATTAGCTGACCTGTCCATAAAGCTTGTTGAAGTTTACAGTATGGCCATGAAACAGACATGTATTGTCCAGAATTTGATCAAAATTGCTGTTTTCAGCTTCGTCTAAAAAAAAATCTGGGCCATTTCAGTCTTGGTAGGAATGTTTCTCTGGATATGCTATTCCCAAATTGTGCTCAGGATGACTCCATTGGCAGTGGTGTAATTTCCATTGAAACTAAAATGTATTTTAGACTTCTTTTCAAGATCAGCTTTCAACAGCCTATTTTGATAGATCTTGACAGGAATGTTTACGAGCACATGCTTTATTAAAATTTTGTCTGGGGCGGCTTCCCAAATAATGGTGTAGCTTCCTTAGCAACTGTTTGAAAAATGTATTCAACTTTTCTAGATAAGTTAGCCAGTTATCATACAAAGGAATAATATGCTTTGTCAATTTTTTCTGAGAGTTGGATCCTCTAGCAGTGGTATGGCTGGCGTTGATAGCAGCCATATGGAAAATCTAATTTTCAGTATATCCAGAACTGTGTGGTTTATATTCTAATCAATCGGTATGAATAACTTGATAGGAGTGTTAGGACTGGCTTCAGCAGAATTAGGTCTGGCATGGCTCTCCTAGCAGTCGTGTGACTTCCCAAGCATCCATTTGGAAAGCTTTTTGTCCGCTTTTTCTAGAACATCTGAGTCTATTTTGATCAAGTAAAATCAGAGTGTATGTCTTGGGATGAGTTTTGTTTCCAACATAACTTCCCACAGCAACCAGGTGCAAAACCTACAAATGACACTTATTCTGTCTTTCAACTGAAAATTGTGTCTTATTACTACATTTGCATTTTGGACTATTGTATGAGCATTGAATGATATCAGGTCCACATGGGGCTCTTGTTTATCAAGAAACTTCAGCTTAGACACAGTGTTCCAAACCATTAGCACTCAACTATAATAAGAAAACAGTTAGGGCAGTAGAAATTTGGGGATTTTCATGATTATTGCACCTTTACTTGCGGGCTGAATTTAATGATGCATATTGATTCCAGGTACTGTATTTTATTGTCTCATGCAGAAGGTGATACATAGTGGTTACCCTATGTCTGCCTGTCTGACATCAACTTTTGGTTAAAAAATGTTAAAGGGCAATATATCTTATGTTTTTAGTAGGATAACATCATCAAACTTTGCTCACACATGTGTTGGGGGAAAGACAGCCAAGGAGTGTTTGTATAACATTTAGGTGGTTCATCAATGGCTTTTGGATCCGGTGGTACTATTATTGTCTTAAATTGACATGGGATGCAGTAGATGTTTACAGTGGGCTATAAATATCAGTACTGGTGTGAAGGTCAAAGGTTAAGGTCACTGGTCAGTTTCTTGTAAATGTTTTAGCAGGAGGATCAGGAACTGGTATTGTATAAGCATTTGACTTTATACCAGATTTACCAGCATACATGGTACTACCTTGGGGATTATCAATCCAGGTATCACAGGTAAAGGTTACATGTGAATTGTTATTTAGTTTTCTTTGAGGGGCACATTGTTAAAATTAGTAAGAATAGGTTATTTCTTGTGTTTCCATACATTTATCAGATTTGTCACATATTTTCAGAACATTATTGAGGTTAAAGGTTCACAGTCAGGGTCACATGGTTGTTAAGTCAAGTGTTACTGGGCCTGTAGTAAAATAATTGCAGGCAAGGTGACAAGTTTGCTAGTCTTTATGGGTTTTTTGAGCTTCACCTATTATTTCTTACTGAAGACATTAAAAATGCAGGATCATGAGTTAATATAATCAAACTCATATCTTAATTATTAAATTTTCATATATTCAGTGATATTTGGTGTTTACTTGCCATGATAAAATATCACATTAACCATTTTTCTGATGCTAAAAGTTTGACTCTATTTATAAAGTGAAGTCTTTTTTCTTAATAAAAAAATTATATAAATTTAGTACAGAGGAAATGAACTCAGGGTTACCCATAAAATCAGAAGTTCCTTAAAGTTTAAGTGGTGCTCTGAAATTTTATTACTTGTCACTTTTCATTCTTGAATCAATGTACTATTGTATAATTTGTAGTTCAGAGTATATTGATTTCAGGATATGTTTTTGTGTTGTCAATTAGAGTACTGACCAAGCAAACTTCGAACTGAAATATGACCAGTTACACATACAAGTATAGGTGTTGTCACAATATGGCCTTACATTAAAATATGACCAGATACACATGTACAAGTATAGGTGTTGTCACAATATGGCCTTACATTAAAATATGAACAGTTTCACATGTACAAGTATAGGTGTTTTCACAATATGGCCTTACATTAAAATATGAACAGTTTCACATGTACAAGTATAGGTGTTTTCACAATATGGCCTTACATTAAAATATGAACAGTTTCACATGTACAAGTATAGGTGTTGTCACAATATGGCCTTACATTAAAATATGAACAGTTATACATGTACAAGTATAGGTGTTTTCACAATATGGCCTTACATTAAAATATGAACAGTTACACATATACAAGTATAGGTGTTGTCACAATATGGCCTTACATTAAAATATGAACAGTTACACATGTACAAGTATAGGTGTTGTCACAATATGGCCTTACATTAAAATATGAACAGTTACACATATACAAGTATAGGTGTTGTCACAATATGGCCTTACATTAAAATATGAACAGTTACACATATACAAGTATAGGTGTTGTCACAATATGGCCTTACATTAAAATATGAGCAGATGCCTTGTTGTGCTAGAAACATTGCTCAGTGGCTATTTGGTTTGTGCATGTGCAATAGGGTAAAAGTTAGATTTTATTTTTCTTCTTTATGTTTTTTTTTTAATTTTTGGCTTTTTGGACCCATCATTTTCATCTCCTGACCACTTTTTACTCACAGTTTCCAACTTGTCCTACTTTTTGCAAAGGTTTATCTGTCTGTGTGCAGTTCAGAACAGTCTGTTTTAGATCACAGGTCTAAAAGTATAAAATCTGGACACAAAATCAGATTCAATCAACAGGTGAAAATTTGGTGTAAAAAGTCAGGCTTGAAAAAATATTTTCTCTCTGCATTTTGTAATGCGAATAGAACGTCAAGATTATTTGGCACCATTGTAGAGCTGCATCTGTCTGTGCTATTTTTTAATACCACCCACTTTGGTGTATCTTAAATGACCTTGATGCTACAGATCTTGGAAGTAGAGTACAGCCTCACCATGCCTACAAGCGGGATTGTGGCTGAATAAATTAAGATAGGACCAGTTACACTTCAACATTTATAGGTCTAGGCCTTGGATAGCCTCACATTTAACTGTGACTTGTTATGTACATGAATAAGTGTAGTAATTATGCCCCTTTGTTGTGTTTTCAATATGAAGGAATTTTACATGTTTCAAAAGGTTAATTTCAGTTGTTTATCACATTTCAGACGTGTTACAGATGATGGGGCGTGCTGGACGTCCTCAATTTGATGACCAGGGTACAGCAGTAATCCTAGTCCATGATCTGAAGAAAGATTTCTACAAAAAGTTCCTGTATGAGCCATTTCCTGTGGAATCCAAGTAAGTCCAAAATGCCTTTGCATAGATTGAGATCACTTTTTAGTCATTTATACTGAAATTCAAATTGAAACTTAATTTTTTAATTTTTTTTTCTTTTTAATATTTATATCAAATTTTATAAAGATATATTAATTGCTTGCCAAGACATGATAACAACTGGAGGTGGGAGAAAACCATTCATAGTACACAACTTCACAAGTCTAATAATATCAGCCAGGGAAAGTTCTCTCCCTTAGTTGAATACTGGATGGCATGTAATAGGTTATAGCAGGAAGTTAAGATTGTTGTTTTTGGTATCAGTGAACCTCCTAACAGTGGTCTATCTGTAATCTGG